ATTATCTGATCAAATTCGATAAAATATATTTTTTATTTGAATTCTATTGACCTATAGAATTCAATAAAAAAACAATTAATCGAGTTTGATTAGATTGTTGCTGAAATATCTTTGCTCAAAGTTGTTTTTTTTTTAATGTTAGAGGTTATATAAATAGATTTTTACTTTATATATGTAAAATTTTGTTCCTATTACTTCTAATTAGTACATATTCAATTAGAAAGTTGTTAAAAATCCTAAAAATCCAAATCCTGATTGTACTATATTTTTGAAGTTCAAATTCTCGAAAAAGTAATTTCATTAATTCATTTTAATAATGCTGAATTGCATAACTTAGTTTATTTAAATCAAATTGCGTAATTTTATTTATATATGATGATTACGTCATATGTTTTAAAACATCCTAATGTATACCTTTTGGATCTACTTTTAAGTTACTAATTTTGCAGTTTTATAAAGTTCTGCAGCTCTTGTGCGAAAAAAAAATTTTGGCTATTTGATTTAATTTCTAAATAGTGTGCAAAGATATTAAGAATCTTTGAATCTAAACATCTTCTCTTCGATTAGATTATGTGAAAATTGGGTAGTTAGAAAATTGATTCGCTGTTTAGCCACCCTAAAAGATAAAATACTTGGGGGAGGTTCATTACAAATATTACATTCAAATACTGGCTTTTCTCTAATTCTTTTAGGCCTTTTGAATTAATTTTATTCTTCCAAAGATCTAGGGAAGTCAACGTGGTATTGACTTTTAATGAGTTACCTAGTACTTTTCCGACTTCAAAATCATTGAAGCCTACGTAACGCTCCACCTACTTCAAGAAAATCTGGTGGTGGGACGATATAATTATTAGTATATTTATCCAATAAATAGTTTTTATAGTAAAAGAATATAAATATGTCCATGTTGAATGTAACTCATAAAAACGTCGAACATATTAACTTATAAAATTTATTTGACAATATATACTTTAAAGAGTTTTCGTGCACTCATTTCACAGGTGGTGTCTTTGTGCTGCCATTTTACAGGTAGTTGCCTTTGGTGCTGCCATTTCACGGGTGGTCTTCTTTGCCGCCATTTTGTTCATGTCTCTTCTTCCCCTTTTTTATCAGATACCGAGTGCCCATTCTCTTGAATACGATTTGTTCTTTCGTTCTTGGGCATGGGAGGTTCTTTGTTTTCGTTTAGAGGCTCTTTATTTACTACCAGCTTTTCTTTTGCTATTGTTCATGTAGGTTTTCTATGTTAATTCCTTCTACATGAATGTATTGCAAAGTTTTTTTTTCACGGGTGGTCGTCTCTGGCATCGCCATTCATTGGTGCTTGCTTCTCTATTACCACTTTTGCTGATGTTCATTTTCGGCACATTTTTTTTATTTTGTTAAGTTTGTTTTTTAATATAAATACTGAAATATATCTAACTAACAAATTTTTTGTTGAAAAGAAAGAAGAGGTGGTTTTTTAAACAAAATTTTGGCAGTTTATCGACTTTTGCATTACACAAATCAGAAGATCTGATTGGTGCATCTTTTTCAAAACAATGTTTTCAAAACAACTAATTCCGACGAACATGCTCGTAATTTACGTTGATTTATTGTCTGCCTTTACGGTATTTCCCGACGCCGGCTTGAATTTATGGTCAGATTCTGCGATACATTTTGAATTCTGTAATATTCTGCGTATTTTTTGGAATTCTGTGATACGGTGACTATGTGGTTGGCTGTGATTAAGAGAAATTCTGAAATCGTCCCTGATCACGTGTACCTGCTTTTTCTCAGAATAGAACCAAATTAGTTTTTTTGATGCATTTGATAGTTTTATATAAAAATATCATAAATAGAAGCAGCGGTTCTATGTATAAGTTTTGTTGATGACATAATCATGTAGTAAAGTCATGTGCATAATTTTACATCGAATTATTAACAAAGAAAGAAAAATATAACTGATATAATGATTGATAAAAGACCAACCTAGACTATATTTTTATTTTTTTTCAACTGAAAAAAATTGATATAGTTTAATATGAATGCACTAATATCCGTTAAGTATATTGTGACCCTGACGACTCATGACTGTACCAGATATTTTTTATTTATCCCCTACGCGATAACTTAAATTTTTATCACAATTTTTATTATAAATATTCATACTCTTAGAAATATGTGACAATGTACATCTTTGTATTTAATTTTTTTAACATTGATTAATTAAAATTTCAATATTTTATATGCAAAACTATTAAATTGTAAATATTTATACTAATTATATTTATTTTAAGGGTATTGATAACCGAGAATTTGATTATCAATATAAACGTGAAGAGTAGTAAAATTATTTTTAATGAATGAAAACAAAACACAAGCATTAAAAGCTTTTTAGTAATGTTCATGGATTAAATTTTACATTCCAAAAAGTTATATCAGAATTTGTACTCGTAAGCGATAAACATATGTATAATGTCAGATACATATAAGCTGGTTTAAGATGCGAATAATAAAAATCTATACTTTTTTAACCAGTTTCTTTTGCTTTTTTTTCAGCTCTCTTTTTCGTTCTTTCTCTTCGTACTAATATAGTTATCGAATAAATGTTAAATAAAATGTTGAGTTGACAAAATAAAATGCGATATAAATTGAAATTACCTTTCGCTGTTCTTCGGGTGACAATTTAGCTACACGTTCAGCTTCAGCACGTTTTTTGTCAGCCTTTTTTTGCTGAATTTCCTAGATTGAAAAAGATTGAAAAACGATTCGATTAGATCGGTTGTAAAAGATAATAAATCAATATTAAATGACAATTATTGGATTTTAATGCAAAAACACACTTCTTGTCTTTCAGCTGCTAAATTTTTTTGTATGACTTTGTCAGCTTCTTCTCTATTCTTGATAAGTTTTTGCCTAGTCTAAATCATTAAATACCAACATATATTAATAATATTGTATAAATATATATTATTAAGATAATTAACATACCTCAGCTCTGAAAGAACATCGTGCAGGAATCAAATCAATCAATGTCAAAACTAGTTCCGCTATAATCATAATATCGGAAAATTTTGAGGCGTCATTTGGAAGTTCATGCATAACGGTTAAAAGTTTTTGTTTATTTTCAATGATTCTATATAAACCAAAAACGTGATCAGTAAAATGATAAAACCAATAATGATAAGCATTATTACAAGTTTTGAGAAAATATACTTTTCTGGGCGAACTCGTGTTTGATCAGAAATTATTATATACGTCAGATATTGAGAAGATGCATTCAACAATTCAATAACTCTATTGACGCTAAGAATTGCTTCAGTAATATCCACAGATTCACTGTGAACATTAACAGCGCTTGGGAGAAGATTATTGTTAGTTTGTTTGGTAAAAGTTTTCTAAATAACATAAAGAAATGATTAGCATTCATCATATTCATCATAGTACCATATAATAAATAAAATTAAAAAAATGTATACGTTACCAAATCGTAACGCGATTGACGAAGATCGGAAGCGCGATCTTTTTTTGTGATACCGAAAACAAAGTCATCGTAAGCACCATCATTCATGGTTACATTATAAGTCTAAGGAAACGTTGTATTTGAATTACTTAACGAAAATAATGAAAATAATGAAAATCGTTAACTAACCTTTATAATAAAATACTTACAACAGTGTCTGTTACCGTTTTGCTGCTAAATTGAGATGTAATAAAATTTGTAATAGTTTGAAGCATGTCATGTCGTGGTTTAAGCTGTTGCAAATTATAACATTGTCAATGAAAGGTTCATAAAAAAATAGATTTATGAAAATGAAGTTTAATATTACAAACCGTTATTTTTCCATGAATATACTGACAATTTCTGCGACCACTCAAGTAGAAAAGATATTCAGCGGGACCATCCTGTATAAGAACGCCACCTTTATCATTTCCAACAAGGGAAAAATTCTCTCTAAGAAGAACAATATGTTTTTCCATCCTATAAAATTAATAAATATCATATTAATCAAACCAATCAAATTGTAAACTTTGAATGCTTAACTTGTGAATATAAAAAAAAGTAGGACTCACCATTTTACCGCAATCGCCTCATTGGCCCGTTTGCCAATGAAATAAACAATAAGATATACAACAATCATCGCGATCATTACCATTTCACGGTAAAAGTCGGATAAAACAAGTTTTGGGTATACTTTAATAATAATAATAATGAAAATTAGGGGCTTTTGAAAAAAATATAGATCTAAAAATAAAAAAATAAAAAAAATGAAAATAAACCTTTGACGTTAAGAGGCTTAGGCGCAGGTATCTCCTCCTTAGAAGGTTCAGAGACAGGCTCAATAGGCACCTCGGTTATTTCGATTTCCTCGTCCCAATCATCTATTTCATCTAATGTTCGGCATAATATTTTTAGAAACCTTGTTTGAACGTTAGAATAAATGTCAAGTAGCTACATACCTTTGGCAATCGCTATTCTAGTAAATAGTTGACATATAAGCACCAGTGCTATAAAAAACAGGAAACCATTTTTCGAGCGTCGGATCATTTTGCCAAGTTGAATTCTTCGATAACTAGTACGTAAAAAGAAAGGCGAATGAACGTACGTCAACGTACCTGGTACTGCGAGATTGAAAATTTGTCCAATCAGAGATTTTGGCAATATTTTTGTGATGATCTTAACTTTACCAGATATACTGATATAGGTGGGGGTCAAACACATTTTTGTGCAACCGATTGATATAACTCCGAATAGCATATTTTTTGAGTTTATTATATAAATCATTTCCACAAAAAATGTGAATGTTTTCCCTTGACAACACTAACGCTAAGAGCACCGGTCTGTCTTTCTAAATGGAAGCAAACGAAGTATCAAGTATTACGGAAAGTAACAAAGAGTATTTTAATAAAGATGCATCAACGTACGATACACATCCTACCCGTGTTCTTTGTGCAAAGAAATGCGCAGAAGCAATTTTGAAAGAGATTAAAGATCCCGAAGGGTATGAAGTTATGGATTTTGCTTGCGGAACTGGTATGATTTTATTATTTCAATGAGAAATCAAAAAATAGGCGGCTGATATTTATACCCCCAATTTTGTTATTCATACTTCTTGACCAAATTTAATAAATTCTTCTTTTTTTTATTTTGATTCTACAGATATGTAGAATCAAAATGAAAAAAATTTCATCGTGGTTGCCAAGATATCTTCGCAAATAATATATCAAAATAATAAATACAAAAAAGTTCTTAAACTTTGAGCGAAGATATCTCGATAACCACTTAACCAAATTTGATTAGCTTTTTTTTTGTTTTAATTCTACAAATCTGTAGAGTTAAAGGAAAAAAAAGTTTATCAAATTTTGTTGGATAGATACTGAGATATCTTCGCTCAAAGTTCTGAAAAATAACAGCTGCGGCGAAATTTTTTTAAAACTCTGAGCGAAAATATCTCAGCATCCATCTAACCAAATTCGATAAACTTTTTTTGTTTTAATTCTACAAACATGTAAAATCAAAAGAAAAAAAAGTTCATTGAATTTAGTTAGATGGATACTGAGATATCTTCGCTCAAAGTTTTAAAAAAAATTTGCCGCAGCTGTAATTTTGATAGCCATTTTTATTTTATCAAAATTTTGAGCAAAGATATCTCAGTATCCAACTAATTAAATTTAACAAACTTTTTTCTTTTGATTCTACAGGTTTGTAGGATTAACCAAAAAAAGTTCATTGAATTTGGTTAGGTAGTTGTCGAGATATCTTCGCTCAAAGTATCAAGAACTTTTTTGTATTTATTATTTTGATGGACGTTTTAAATGTTTGAAACTTTCAGCGAAGATATCTTGGTAACCACTTAACCAAATTCGATGAAGTTTTTTTTTATTTTGATTCTCATATCTATAAAATAAATATATAAAAAAAAAATCATTAAATCTGGTCAAGAAGTTAATGAGATATCTTTGCTCAAAATTAGAAAAAAAATTTAAATTTTGTGGGGGTAATTTGGGAGTATGCGAGTATATCAGCCGCCAAAAAATATTTGATTTATAAAATTAATATAATTATAATATAATATAATAGGAATAATATCTCAGGATTTATGCGCTCATGTAAAATCTGTCCTTGGAGTGGATTTGTCGCAAAATATGGTGGATGAATATAATAAAAAGGTTTCGCAACAAGGAATTGATAAAGAAGAGATGCAGGCAATTTGTTTAGAGCTAAAAGAATCTGAAGGTGACCAATTAAATGGGCGAAAATTCGATCTTGTTGTGGTAAATATTTTGCTAACAAAATTGATTTGATATACTATTTTATTCGTTGAATCAAAATTTAAACCATTTTAAAAAGTGTGCGTCAGCGTATCATCATATTGACGACGTTGAATCGGTAACAAGAGTACTAGCAAGTTACCTTAAACAAGGTGGAGAATTAATTGTTCTAGATTTAAAAAAACAACCGGAACATTCACATATGTTTCATGGGGGAGGTAAGGACCATATGTTTCATTCGGAAAATAGGGACCATATCTTATCTCACAAGGGCGGATTTTTTCCTGAAGAATTAGAAAAAATATTTCTTGCAACTGGTATGCTTGAGAATGTTAGCTCAAAAGTTGCATTTAATTTGTCAAAAAAAATCGAAAAAGATGAACATACGTTTGAGTGGCTTTTGGTGAAAGGGAAGAAAATTTAAACTGAAACAAGGTTTATAATTTAAGATTCCCAAAGATTTCATAACCTACTGAAAAATACTTTAAGTATTAATGTTGATTTTTATGTATGCAATTATCTGTCTAAATTACATATACTTTAGTGCATAAAAAATTAATTATTAATACAAAAATGGCCCAAATACACGAAAATAAATTTCTAAAAGTACCATGAAATCACGAGTTTGTTGGATTTAACCGACTCTAAAAATTATAAAATTTGATGTACACTTTGTAATCCACTGGAGAGTCTATTACCAACAAGCAAGGGTGTTATATTAATTAATAACTCATAATGAAATCGGGTATTAACTATGACGGATTAAAATAAAATATTGTACAATGTAAAAAATAGACAAGCCACTGAAAACTAAATTTTCTTAAACTACATTTTTTAGGTTAGGGGTAGAGTTTATAATAAGTATAAGTGGGTTTTAGGAGGTTAAATATAATTATTGTTTAAACACCCTAAGCGGGGGACCAGCCATAAGCGTGCACTTAGAGAGTTCATAGGCAGACATTCGTATGATTGGCTGTTTAAATCAATTTAATTTTACATTATTTATACAGTTTAAAGTACT